GCCGTGCCGTGCGCCTCCGTGCTGGACGGCAGGGTGGCTATGATCACTGCCGCAGCCTCGGGTCTCACAGATGCCCCACTGGGAGGATGTTTTGGAAGGGAGAGCTATGGGTATAGCAGACGCCATTGGGGACCAACCCATCGTCCATTCGAATCACCCCATGTCCTCGTTAACACAACTGATGGTGTCCAGTCACCTGCCCTTGTCCCTGGGGCCATAGGCCCTGAGGCAAGCTCTCCCGCAGCGTTCCCATCTCCACGCCTGGGTTGGCTTAGGCACGCATAAACAATATTTTTACTAGGCAGACAGGACAAGCAGTGCTCTGGGGAGCCTCGCATAATCTGAGGTGATATTGCCTTATCATTTAAGTCACTTCCTGTGGGACTTTGTTTCTGGCATCAAAACGCAACCTAAGTGATATGAGGAACTATTGTCGAGAAGTTCCTTATCCCGGGCTCCTGAAGCTAAGTGACACCCTCCCATGGGGCACAGTCCAGAAGGTGTCACCCTGCCACCTCAATCTCACAGTGGAAGGAATGTCCTTCCCCTCACACCTGGGCCCTGCCCCTGGCTGCCTCAGCACCGTGGTCCTCTTCCTTCCCCTCGTTTCCTTCCTCCCTCCTGCTCTCCCTCCCTTCCTCCCTGCCTCCCACCCTCCCTCCTCTGTCTCTTTTGTTTCTCTATGCCCTGAAGCATAGTCTAGTCTCAGCCCCTCTTCCTGGCTGACCACAGTGCCACAACAGCCTGGGACCCCCACCCCCGCCCCACCCCACCCCCAAGCCCGAGGAGCCCAGGCACTGAAGCACCACCTCTGATCCACGGCTAATGCCACTTTCCCACCCAGTGTGCTGTACCCTCAAGCCTCGCGATCTGACTCCTGGGCTGTAGCATTGGGTCTGGCTTTGATGACCTAGTCTCCACACTGTGGGTCAGTGCCAGTCTCGCCCCTAAGAGGGCAAGATAGGGCCTTGGCCGAGACCCTCGTGTGTCGTCTTTCTCATCACCCATCCACGCTCTCCCCACCCCCAGTACTTCCTGAAACTTCTCTCACCCACCTGCCAACAGTCTTCTATTTGGCAAAGACAATGAATACATTTCAATCTCTTAGCCACTGGAGAGCATTTCTTCTTTTTAGCGTATTTATTGGGCTATAATTCACATACCAAAAATGTTACCCATTTAATATGCATTTAGTAAAGAGTTGTGCCAATATCACCGTAATCTAATTTTAAATATATGTTTATCGATTTCAGAGAGAGGAAGAGAGAGGGAGAGATAGAAACATCAATGATGAGAGAGAACCATTGATCGGCTGCCTCTTGCATTCCCTGCACTGGGAATCGAGCCTAAAACCTGGGCATGTGCCCTGACCAGGAATCGAACCATGACTTCCTCGTTCATAGGTCAAGGCTCAACCACTGGGCCATGCTGACCAGGCACCATAATCTAATTTTAGATACTTTCATCACCCAAAAGAAAAGCCTACATATCCCTTAACTGTCACTGCCACCTTATCCCAAACATCATTCGACCCCCAGCCCCTGGCAACCACTAATGTGCTGTCTCTATGGATCTGCTTACTCTGGACAGTTCATATAAATGAGAATCAAAGATATGGGGTCTTTAGTGACTGTCTTCTTTCACTTAGAACAGTGTTTTCAAGGTTCATCTGTGGTGTGGTGTTTATCAGGACTTCATTCCTTTTTATTGCCAGATAATATTACATTGTATGGGCATGCCATCTTTAGTTTATCCACTCATCCATTTATGGAAATTTCAGTGGCTTCTACTTCTTGGCTATTATAAAAAAATGCTGCTATGAATATTCATGTACAAGTTTTTGTGTAGACATATGTTTCGTCTTTCTTGGATACATACGTAGGAGTGAAATTGATGGATCATATGGTAACTCTATGTTTAACTTTGTGAGGACTTGCCAGACTGTTTTCCAAAGCGGCTGCACTATTTTACATTCTCACCAGCTGTGCATGAGGATTCCAATTTCTCCACATTCTCACCAACTAGTGATGTCTTTCTTTATTATAGCCATTCTAGTGGGTATGAAGTGGTACCTCATTGTGGCTTTGACTTGCATTTCCCTAAAGATTAGTGAAGTTGGGCATCTTTCGTGTGCTTATCAGCCACTTGCGTACCTTCTTTGGAAAGTATCTACTCAGCTTCTTTGCCAAGTAAAAAAGAAGGAAATCTTGCCATTTGTGACATGGATGGGCCTGAGAGCTAAGTGGAATAAGTCACACAAAGAAAGACAACAACTGTACGACCTCACTTATGTGTGAAACCAAAACCAAAACCAAAAACAAAAAAGCTCATAGATGCAAAGGAAAGTTGTCCAAGGTAGGAGTTGGGAGAGAAGCAAAATGGATGAAGGGGTTCAAAAGGTACAAAATTCTAGTTATAAAATAAACAAGTCCTTGGATGTGATGTACAGGATGGTGACTCTAGTTAACAACCCCTCGACCGTAATATTAGACAAGCGTTCTCTGAGGCCCAGGAGATGCCAGGCTCTGTGTTACCCACACCAGGTCCCTCCCAGGTCATTACTGATATGTCCACTTTATAGCTGAGGAAACTGAGGCCCAGAGCACTTCAATAACTTGCCCAAAGTCACACAGCCAGTGAGGGACAGAGCTGGGAGTTGGACCCAGCCCGGACTCATGCCACTGCCAGCCTTTTAGCCATCATGCTCTCTCGCCTGTCTTATGAGTATCAGTCAGTCTTCGGTCTGAGACAGAAGGACACATTTTCTAGGTGGTTTTCTTTCTAACCTTCTAAATAACTCACAGCCAAACCAAAGGCAGAAACACACTGACCAGAGAACGTGTCTTATTGTGAACTATGCCATTGGACTCCTTGGGCTTTTTTCACAGTATATGCATAATTGCTTTTTGGTAATTATATAAAGTTATAGAACAATTCCCGGTGAGAGGCAGTGTGTGTCTGGCTAAGAGCAAAGATGAACTCCCCTGCCCGCGAGTCCTGTCTCTGGCGCCCTGGCTCTGCTGGGTACATTTGTCAGCCTCACAGTGACTCGTCTCCTCCCTCGTGTGATGGTGACGGGAATAACAGGACCTACTGCCCTGGGTGGTCTGCGTTAAAGGGGCTCCAGCACAGAGAACAGCACCTGGCACACAGAAAGACCATGGAAGGGCTCACGGGAAATTCACAACGGTCCATAAACTTCCTGGTGATAGCAATGAATTGGGAGTATGCTCGTCGCTCTTCTCTCTTTGGGTTACCTCTTTTCAAGATTCCTAAAAGTCTCAGAACTTCTGGTGCTTGAGGTAAATCATTTCAAAACTGTTTGTTAACTAGTGACTGAGGCAGGAAAGTGAAGTACTTGCTGAAATATAACTAAAAAAAAATATCTAACTTCAGTTCACAGCTTCCTGTGCTGCTCGTCTGTGACAGAAGGGAGGTAAGACTATAGCGACCGTCAGGGGCTAGATCATCGAGGACTTTGGGTGACAATGTAAGGAGCCTCTATCCTGGGGGTTAGAGGAGACACTTGTCTGTTTAGGGCAGTGGTCGGCAAACTGCGGCTCGAGAGCCACATGCGACTCTTTGGCCCCTTGAGTGTGGCTCTTCCACAAGATACCATGTGCGGGCGCGCATGTACAGTGTGATTAAAACTTCATGGCCCATGTGCAGAAGTCAGTTTTCGGCCTGGGCGAGTCTGTTTTGAAGAAGTACTGTTGGTATTTGTCTCTGTTGACTAATGAGTTTGCCAACCACTGAGATAGACGAAACAAGTGTGGATGGTAGAGTTGGAAGGGGTCGACCTCAGCGAACGTACCTCAATCAGATTGAGGACGTTTTTAGCAAAGGCCAGCTTAGGAGTGCCCTAATTAAGTACTTGCTGAAATATAACTAAAAAAAATATCTAACTTCAGTTCACAGCTTCCTGTGCTGCTCGTCTGTTAGTAACAATGTACCTACCTATATAGTTTAAGTTTAAAAAACTTGGCTCTCAGAAGAAATTTCAATCGTTGTACTCTTGATATCTGGTTCTGTTGACTAATGAGTTTGCCGACCACTGGTTTAGGGTATCTTAACACAGCTGCGGTAATAAACACTCCCCCACGCACAGATGCACGCACGTGCACAAGCACAAATCACATATGTGGCTTAACCAATAAAACTTCCTTCCTCCCTGTACAAAGCCCATTGTGGATGCTGTCACTGCCAGTGGGATGCTGTTCTCCAGTGCTGATTCAGGCATCCCCTCTCCTCCCACCTTCGGGAGCCCCTCCACACTCCCACCCTGGCTCTACCCCTCACCCCACTCTGTGGCCCACAGGCCCCACCCCGTGACCGGTCTCCCCACCCACACCACCTGCCTTGGGCAGAGCGAGGAGAGGCTAGCATTCTCACATTACTAGTCTGCAGACTGCTCCAGAGACGCCTAAATGTCCTCAAAGACAGAACCCTGTATCCCCAACTCCTAAGAGCCTTTATCTATCCATAAATCCCCTGGATGTGTGGGAAAACCCTGGTAACCATGGTCAGAACTCATGGAGAGCTCTCTGGCTGCTTTTTGGGGACCTGGGCCCAAAGTTTCTGGGAAAGAAAGAAGACCCTAGTGCAGTGGTTCCCAATATGGGGCACATGCCCCACAGGGGCAATTTGACTTTTAATGGGGGCAATTCGAGAATGAGTTAACAGTGAATTTTTTGCATTTCTATGGTTCTAGGGGCTTCATATACAGTATATAAATATATATTGTAACATATTTATGCATTTCAGTTCTCTATTATGTTTTGAAACTTTGCCATTTTTTCATATCACTTCATATTATTTTTTTAACAATTTCTTAGTGATTTCTTCCTCAGTACTTCAGCTGTCCTTTTGCTCTTTTTTCTTTTTCATAGATGCCATGTTCTTTGGAAGCTTGATTAGACCAAGTTAATGGCCTTTTAGGCTTACCTCCACGTGAATAGGAGTTCACTTTTTGAATAATGAGAAATTTAAGTCAGAGGGCTCACCATGGGTGCGGCGGGGAGGGCGTCAGGATTTTAGCGATGCTTAGGTGGGGCGTGGCCAAAACCAGGCTGGGAGCCACAGCCCTCCGCCCATAGCTCAGCAGCTGGCGGATCTGGCGAGATAAACTGGCTCCCCGCTCTTTATCACCTTGGCCCCGCCCCTCTGTTGACTGACAGCTTGTTATGTGTCTTCATTCCTTGCCTCTCACAGCCTCCGGAGCAGTGGCTCCCAACCTCCGCCGGCTCGGGCGTCCCGGGAGGGCTGGCCACAACGCAGATGCAGGCTCCGCCCAGAGCTGCTGCCCACGGGGCCGGCGAGCACTTGCTTCTCCAAGGAGTTCCCGGCATTTCTGAAGCTGCAGGTCCCAGGACGACGCTTTCAGAGCCGCCCCTGGAGGAAGTGAGGTCCGCGCTGCAGAAGGGACCCCTTACAGGCGAAGGCGCACTTTGAGTCAATGAATGGGGGGATGAAAACGAGCCGGAGGACAGTGACTATAATGAAGGACAGAGGAAGGGCACTCCCGTTCACCAGACCCCATCTTGGGCCCGTCACCGACCCGGTGGCGCCCCAGGGAGTCTGGGCTTCGTCCTAACCCCACCCAGCAGCCCACAGGCCCCGCCCCGCAGCCCGCCTCCGCGGCTTTTGTGACGTCACGACCCCAGGGGTCAGGAGAATGGTTGCTGTGGCAACGTAAACCAAAGGCCCGCGCGCTCTGAGCCTTGGAACCGCGGCGCGGAAGCTTCGGATCAAGCCCGGTGCGCGAGGCTGGTGGGTGCGCTCAGGGCTGTGATGGGGGGCACGCGGGGTCAGGGTGAGCTCTGGACCAAAGCGCAAGACCCCTTTTGCAAGGCTCCCCGCCCCTCCCTCCTTGTCGCCATACTTGCTTTATCAGTCACCTAGACATCCCTCCGTCCAAGGTCCCCGCCGAGTTGGGTGGGGAGACAGGTCCTACTCACCCGGGCCTCCCTGGATTCCTGTCCCGGAGAACCGAGCAGGACTGTGGCTGGAAGGGCGCAAGCTTCGGAGTCAAGGGATTTTGGACTGGAATCCCAGCTTCGGACCTTCCTGGCTGTGGGACTTAGGACACCTCTCCGGATCTCCACTTTGTTTCTTCCTTTGCAAAATGAAAAGACATTCAATGTTAAGGACGTGCCAGGCGCTTTGATACAGCTCAGAGAAGACACCTGTTCTCATGGGGCTTAATTCTAAGGGCAATACGCTAATTTTTTTTTAAAAGAGATAAACGACAGTGGGTAATTGCAGAGAAGAAAATAAAGTGAGGTCACATGGGGATGCGGGTAAAGAACCCACTTTAGACCGGGGATGAGGATGGCTTCTCTGAAGGGGTGACCTTTGAGCTCAGATCTGAAGAGAGTGAGGGAGCTGGGTGTGGGAGGACAGTTTGGACTGAGGAGGAGCAAATGCAAAGGCCTTGGGGCAGAGCATGGTTGGTGTGTTCTAGCGACAGATAGGAGCCAGTCAGAGAGGGGAGAGAGGATGGGGTGGGGAGTGGGAAGAGAGGGAGCTGCATGTGTTGGCCCCATGGTGAGCCCTCAGTAAATGCCAGCTGTTCTCAGCCCTGGGGCGGAGGGAGGCTGTGGGCCTGGAGACCATCTGGCTCAAACTCCGTGTCATTCCCCAGGTTGGAACCTTCTCTAGCCCAGGTCCGGTTTTGCAGCAAGCCCTTGTTCCTCTGCAGGAAAGTCCAAGCTCCTGTCGTCTACTATGGTTTCCAAGGTCATGGCGAACATCAGTAAGTACCCAGTACCCAGCTGGCATGGGCTCTCTCCAGGCCCAAAGGCAGCCTTGGGAGCCTGGGACAGTGAGGTCTAGACTTAATCCAGGGTTCAGGAGATGCTAAATCAAGCCGCGAGGCAGAAATCAGTTTGCCAGGTTCCTTAGAAACCCCACGTACCAGAGTCCTAAGGTTGCCAGGACAAAGTACCAAACAGACTGGTGACTTAAACAGCAGAGATTTATTGTCTCATGGCCTGGCCCTTGGGGTATTCCTATCTCCCAGGCCCTCCCTTTCCCTTTATCATCCCAGCTCCCCCTCCCCCACACTGGTCCCAGAGGACCAGCCCCCTGAGCTTTCCACCAAAGCACACCTCTATGCTCTCCAGCAGCCCCCACCCATCTGCCCTCAGGGCCGACTGCCCTCCCAGGCTGGCATAGACTGGAATCTCCAAGCTACAAAAGATTCCCGAGTTGGGGTTGAAGGAAGCATGGGGCCAAATGCCTCCTTCCCTGTGGGTATACGTGGAAGAGAGAACAAGGAAATGGGGGTCTCTGAGGGCCCAGCCCTGATGGAAGAACCTGGTCAGCTCACAGCAAAAGCACTGGCAGGCCAGGAAGAAGACGCTTAGGGTCGTGACCTGTATAACCCCGTGCTGCCCTTTGGGGACAAACTGAAGGGTGTGCAAGGGAAGGCGCGTTCTGTGTGCCAGGCGCGCGTGCTAGGAACTTCTGTGGCCATTTTCTTGCATGATCCTTACAACTTCCCAGCAAAGTCAGCATGATTGTCTCAGATGTGGAAACTGAGGCTCAGAGAAGCTGAGTGGCTCGCCAAGCCCGCTCAGCAGACAGGTGAGGATGCTGGGGCCAGAGCCTAAAGTGTACCGAGCCGGCACGGCCGTGGGTGAGCCTGAGCGGGTGAAGGATGGAGAAAAGACAGACAAGAAAGCTGGGCGCTAGGTGGGACGCTCCTCTCTGATGGAGAGACAGCGCCACAGCCTGCAAGCTGAGTATTTTATAGCCAGATTCCACGAGGCAAAGTAAGGGCGTAGTCAAGATGTTTACAACGTGGATTTCGAATCTACTCAATTACATGCACCTGATAAGCTTTGTTTACGTGCTGCACTCTCACAGCCCATATCACTCAGCCACGTGGGACCACGGGTTCGGACCATAGGTTCAAGCTTACAGCCATAGCCCCGGCTATAATTGTGCTGGGACTTGCAGGTGGTTTTGCCACGAGAGGATCGTGCCCTCTCATTAGTCCCAGGCTTGAACCTGTCGAACGCTATAGCCGCTCTCCACACTAAAGCATGTCTGCGTCTCTCCCCGGCCTCACGCTGTGTTCACAGCTGTCACAAAATATGTCATTTTCTCTGGCCCTCACTTTTGTGTCTCCCCAGAGAACAGCCTGGAATCCACAGACGAGAGCTCCCCTTCAGTCATTGAAGAAAAGAAAAAGAAACATAAGAAAAAAGGCAAAGGTACCTCTGGAGCCGGGAGCTGAAGTCCCAGGTGGTGGGGGCACACTCTCTCCCTCAGCGGCGATGCCTTCAGACCTAGTCTTCAGTGTGAAGGGCAGAGGCCATGCTTCTGTTTCCATGAGGAGCAGGGTTACTGAGACCTGAAATAATGGGAACATAAAGTAGGATGTGTTCCTCCAGGAATGGGTATGTGGGAAGCAGTCCACAGCTCCGTATGGCTCCACCAATAGCAGTTCTACAAAATCATCCAGCTGACCACATCCCAAGTCTTTCTCCCACTGTCTTTAAATGTAGGGCTTTCAACCGCAAGGTTGTCACATGGTCACAAACTGGCTGCTGCAGATGCAGCCATCACATCTCATTCCGGGAGGGAGGAGGATTGAAGAGAAGGGCAGAACTGCCTGCCTGCCACTTTAGCCCTCCCTCCCTGGGAAAAGATCCTTCCCAGAATATCCACCCAACAATTTCTCACTACTTTTTGCGGGGGAAAAGGGGGCAGGGGGAGTCACAGGGCCATTAGGATCTGCAAGGGAGGCTGGGAGTGTAGCTTTTCAGCTAGGCACATGGCTCCCGTCTATTAGGAAAAAGGGTAGGCAGCTAGCTGCATATGCCTCATCCTCTGAGCCCCTGCTCTGTCACTCCACACCCTGGCTTCCAGGACTCCCTCTGGTTTCTGTGCTGCCCTCACCCACCCCCGACTCCTGGGCTTACAGGCCTGCCTATCCGGTCTTCCCGCAGAGTTGTGCAGATGTGAGCATGTTCCCTGCACCTGTCCTTCACAGGCCAGCTCCCACCCCTCAGCCCACCCCGCCCCCATTTCCTCTTTCTTTTAATTATTAAAATCCCACCCTAGCTGGTTTGGCTCAGTGGATAGAGCATCTGTCTGCAGACTGCAGGGTCCCAAGTTCGATTTCAGTCAAGGGCACATGCCCTGGTTGTGAGCTCGATCCCCAGTGGGTGGCGTGCAGGAGGCAGCCGAGCAGTGATTCTCCTCATTGATGTTTCTATCTCTCCCTCTCCCTTCCTCTCTGAAATCAATAAAAATATATTTTTTTAAAATAAAATAAAATCCCAACCTGCCCACAAGTAGAGACTAAAGCCCAGTGAACTCACATGCCTATCACCAGATTGGGCAGTAGGCAAGATTTTGCCACTTTTGCTTCACCTATCCCTTTTCTCCTGTTCTTACACTGCCTCTCCAGGCCTCAGCCACATTGCCCTTACCCACCCCCAAGCCCATCTTCCCTGGGGCAGGGCGGGGCAGGGGCACTGGTGGAGACTCCTGCAAGGACAAAGCATATTCACCTGGAGTGCTCACTTCCCACCGACAAGCAGGCGCCTCAGCACTGGAGTCAGCAGGCTGTCACTCCCCCCCACCCCCCACAGAGTAGGAGTTCCTGAGACTTTAAATGAGAGGACAGAGGGCCAGGGACATAGCACATGTCTGAGACAGGGGGGGCTGTGTTCATCAGGTCTCTTTCAGGTGTCAGGAACAGAAGCCCCACGCCAACTCGGTTGAGTTTACAGAGCTGGAAGGTCCAGGAGTGGACTCCAGGCACAGCTGGGCCCAAGAGAACACTTGTCACTTGCTCATGCTTTCACAGAAGCTCCCTATACTGGGCTGGGAGGGTGCTGGGACCCCAGAGGCACAGGCCTCAGCTGGAAGAGCTGGCTCGTCTCTCGAATGAGGTATTTCCCTCCCCAGTGTCTGTGGTTGTTCCGGACCGTTCAACTAATCCTTTCCATATGTCTGGGAACGTGGATTTCTTCCTGCTCAGAGATCAGGAGCGGGATAAGTTTCACGCAGTGAGTACGCAGGACCAAGGCCTGCCCCAGCGCTTTCTTCCCTTACACAAGCAGCAGCAGCCAGATTTCCCAAGAGCACTTTCCCCCGGTCACTCTCACTCTAGAATGGCTCACCATTTCCTAGAAAATGAACTGGAAACTCCCCCTAGCTCTCAGGTCTCTGACCTGTCCCACGGCCACCCAGTTTCATCACCATTGTGCCTGGGCCTTTGTCAGGCTGGGCTCCTGGGAGCTGCTGTGGCCACAGCCTCTGCTACCACGCCTTTGCTTCTGCTGTCCCTTGCCAGAGATGCCATCCCCTTCTGAGGCTTTTCCTGTCCTTCGAGGCCCATCTCAGACCTCAGGGACCCTCTCGCCTCCCCTGGGAAATCCCCCCCACAGCTGGCCCCCACTGCTCTTGCCTTGCACAGTCTCCTGGTTGGAACTCTTAGAGGCCAGATATGCACACAGGCATGCACACATGTGCACATACACATTCCATGCCCCTTAGCAGTGCCTGGGAGTCCCGGGGCCAGCCCTGACCCCCAGGCTGTGCCTTGTCTCCACCCCAGCATGGTCTCTCCTGCTTCCCAATCCCAATCCCCACACACATCCACCCTGCCGCGGCATGGCCGGCCAAAACAAGCAAGCCTCACTGCAGCCAGGCATGGGGAGAGCTCACCAGGTGCACATCTTCCCTGGGAGCTGTGGCTTCTGCTGCAACTCCAACCGGTACTGACACCCCAGACTCTGGCCTAGAAACTCTGGGAGGGCCACCATCCATCGATGTTCCCCCGACTCGTGCCACGCTGTGCACCCACTCATGCCCCAGAAGGAAGCTCATGAGAAGCCACACTGAGCAGCTCCCGCTTCCCTGAGGCCTCCGGAGTAGGGAGATATTGCAAACACACGCCCAGACTTTCTCTGACCTTGACTTAGAGAGCTCGCCAGTGCAGAATTCCATTTTCTTCTGCCAGCTTGGCCCTGCTTCAGGGCTACCTCCATCTTCTTCCAAAAGCCCCTGCAACCTCACCCTCCACCCCACGCCCCAGCTGAGCTCCCCAACCTCACACTCCTCCCCACCCTGCCCCACGGAGCCCCCCAACCTCACCATGGTCAAAAGCAGCTACCCAATAACTTCTAGACACAGGTCTCCAGCCACAGGGATTCTAGGGGGTGGCGTTTCCCCAATTTTGTTGTTATACGGGGCTCACACTGGACCCTGCCACAGCTAGGTTTTCCCTAAGCAGCGCTCTTTACAGGCTGAATTGGGTTTTGAACCTGCCAGGCCCAGTAGGAAATAGAACTACCCAGGAAAGGCCAAGAGTTCACATGAGGCCTTTCTGATCCCACCCCACCCCATGAGGGATGTGGAGACCCCCGGGGTCTGAACAGAAGAGTCAGGGCACCCCAGAAGCCAGAGATCTAAACGAGGCCTCTGGGAAGAAGAGACCCCAACCCCGCTCCCATCCTGGGAGCCTCCGAAGGGAAAGGCTGGGGCCGCAGGTCAGGGCAGGTGGAGAAGGGGTGGGGAGGCGCAGAACCCCAGTGACAGCACGGCCCCGACACTGGCCGACAAGTTTGCAGATCAAACTCAGGGTTTCAAGTTTCTTTTGGAAATTCAGATCTAATTTCCCTGGACCTTGGGATGTTGGATTTAGCAAATCACAATACAAGTTTAAGTGTGAGTTTCAGATACACCAAGAGTCATCTTTTAGTAAGTATGTCCCTGAACTACTGATCCAGAATGCACATCACTTGGCAGGCAGCCTGTGCTCATCTGGCTGCCCTCCTGCACCTGGCTCTCCAGAGGCCAGTCCTGCCCACTCCCTCTGAAACGGGGCAGTCGTGGGCAGAACCCCAGGGTGCTCACACACACACACAGCTCCACCATCTTTCCTGCGCTTGGCACATGGGCACCCCCCACCCCACCGACCAAGTGCGAACCACCTCAAATCCATACGACCCTGGCATGGGACAACGCAGGAGGAGGCAGCCGGGCCCAGGAGAGGGGGAAGGTTGTGTGGAGGCCGGCACTGGGAGGCCTCGCCTGATTCGCCCGCCCCCTAGGAGCGGCAGAAGAAGAAGATGCTGCAGTTGCACCAGAAGATGACCTACTCATCCAAAGTGTTGGCCAAGCACGCCAGCCTGCTGCATGAGCTGCAGCTACAGGACCGGGCGGATGACCAGGAGGCGCGTGCCCTGGCCGAGGCCCAGCAGATGAGCGCCTTCCAGGAGGACCACACCTCCTGGAAGCTGGCCATGACCAAAGGTACTGCTCCTCTCTTCCCAACATCTACATCGGGTCTGTGCCTCCAGGCGAGGGCAGTGCTGCAGAGGAGGGGCTGCAGTGCAGTGGGTGCGGGGGGCACCTTTCCTGTCTGACCCCTGCCTCCCGAATCACAAAGACCAGGTCCAGGTGGAGTGCAAATCTAAAAGCCTGTGGACCCCAGTACTGCATGCACTCTGAGTGCTGATGAGGCACAACAAATGCAGGTTGTATAAATATGGGCATTTAACATGGGGATAAAGAGTCAGTGTAGAACTGATTGCCTGGGTTCAGATCTCAGTGGCTGCTCCTTCCAGCCAAGTTAGCTAACTCCTTTCCTGAGTTTCCTCTCCTGGCTGATGACAGTAGCAACCTCATGGTTGGGGGGTTCAACCTCGTCAAACACAGCACATCGTGAGAAAGAACTGTGTGTGTTTGTGTGGGTGGGTGTTTGTGTGGGGGTGTGTGCGCGCATGGGCAGTTATTTTTGTAGCCCAGTAGGAAATCTACAGTACTGAAATGAATTAATATTCTACCAACCCAGATGATAAAGTATAGTATCACTTGGCTAGAAAGTAGTAGTTGGGATCAGAGAGTTCTGGAACCCCAGGGGTACAGGCATACTGGATATGAGTATACACATAAGGAGGTCCCAGTCTCCACCCTGACACCGAGGCTTGTTCTTTGGGGTAGGAAACCCTGTGCTTGCTCCGACGATTGTGCGCCAAGCTCTGCATGGGGGGAGCAGCACGGCATGTGCTTGCTTTCTGCCTCCGCCCTCTATTCCTAAGCCCTAGGAGAGGCAAGTGGCACCTGGATGGGGAAGCCTGGACCCAGGGTGTTTGGACAAAAGACTTGTCAGTGTCCAGCTTTGGCTTCCAGTGAGGAGCTGGGTCTCCTTGAGGGCAGGGACTCCCCCAGGGTGGACCAGGAGGCAGGGGCCTAGTGGGTTCGCTGCCAGGCATCTAGACCTAAAGCAGGACCCCTGTGCCACGCGGCTCTGCAGTCCTTCCCACAGTCCCTGCGCTCTCCAAAGCTGGGGAGTGTTTAGGTCTTCCTTTCCAGAAAGGCCCGGAAAAGAGCCCCCACGGCCGGTGGCCCCACCGTGCTGCCTCTCTGCTTGTCCTCTGGAAGGTCATCCAGGAGCCCACCCTGATGTCCCCCGACCTGGGGAGACCCTGGCAGTGTAGACTTAGCTGCTGCCCACATTGGGCCCTGGGGGCTCAGGGCACCCCCAGTTGAGATCATCCTGCCACATTTTTCTCTCAGGTCCTGGGCAATAGGCCTTCTGGTATGAAGTCCCGTCGGGTGAAACTCCCAGGGTGGCGGTGTCCAGAGTCTCATTCCCGGTGAGAGGAGGCAACAGCAAGAGAGGCTCTTGCCACCTGGACCAGCTGCAGGCGTGGAGGTGTGACCGATCAGCGGGGCCTTCTCCGCCTTTGCAGGAAACAGGGCTGGCTCTCCCACGCCCCCTGTGATAGCGCTGCATTGCACCAGGAGCAGCTGACCAGCACCCCCTTCCTGTGCACCCATCCTCAGCCACACCTGAGTCTCTCTCCCACTGCCCACCCCCCAGATGCCTCCCTCCTCTCATTGCAGAAAAGAAAGAGGATTCTGACAGCATATACAAGTACATCAACCAGAAGCGGCAAATGTTCCTCCTCCAGGTAGGCCCGTCTGCCCCCTTGAAGGGGACCTGGGTGGACTGTCTGGTGGGGAGGGTAACCCCTGCTCTGGTGGCCATCAGTATGCCCTGGATATGAAGCGGAGTGAGATCCAGCGGCTGGAGATGCTGGCAACAAAGGAGGAGGCGGAGCTGGAGCGGGCTGAGAAGTCCCTGGAGAAGGATTCGACCCTGTTCGATGAGTTCCTCAGGGAGAATGACCGCAGCTCAGTGCAGGCCCTGAAAGAGTGAGCCTGTGGCCAGAGGGGCTGGTTGGCCATGCCCCCAGGGTCCCCTGGGCCTGTGCAAACCACCCGACCCAGCCTGCACCCAGCCTCAGCCCCGCCTCCACCCCTGACCCAAACCAGGCTTCTGGGAGCTCCCCCACCTCCAGCCTGGCCTGAGAACCGTCTGGCCTCTTTAACGGTCTGAGATTGGCTCCCTGCCCCACCCTACCCTTCAGGGCAGAGAAGGAGACCAAAGTGAAGATAGAGAAGATCACTGAAATCCGAGAGCTGACCACCCAGATCATGAATATCAAAAGGTAAGGTCAGAGGCTGCCTGGAGGGCATGGCTCAGTGGTTGAGCATGGATCTATGAACCAGGAGATCACGGATCAATTGCAGCCAGGGCTCAATCAATCAATGATGCTCTCTCATCATTGATGTTTCTATTTCTCTCTCCCTCTCCCTTCCTCTCTGAAACCAGTAAATATATAACTATAAATATAAATTTATTTATTTATTTATACATACACTGAGTGGCCAGATTATTATGACCATCTGATGTTTGTAGGCAAATTAGCCGTACACTGCATCATCTGGGATATGGAAGCCGAAGGCCTATTCAAACACCTTTGCTGTCTGCAGTTACCAAGATAAAGCGTCTCCAATTTGCACAGGAACACAAGGATTGGACAGTCCAGCATTGGAAAAGAGTCATGTGGACCGATGAATCACATTTCCAGTTGCATCATGCAGATGGCAGAGTGAGAATCCTCCCACCTGAGGG